CCCCCCCCCCCCCCCCCTTCTCCCCGGGTCGAGCTTCGTAATGCACTTTGGAGAGGAGAAGTGGGAGTTTGGGAGCGCAGAGGGGAGTTGAGCATCCGGGGAAGGGTGGTGAGAGCAAATTATTGCTAGTGTGTGGCCAACCAATTAAATCCCTGGGACGAGAGGCAGCACAACAGCGGCCGTTGTGCCCGTTTAAGGCAGCGTTTCTACTAAACTGGGTTCCTAAAACCACAACTATCTCCTAAAACATGCGAGACTTCACAGCTCCCATTTCAAGAGAAACACCAAAGCTACTGGCCAAGCTTGGTCCTCAACTCACGACTTGATGCTTCTCCCGAATAAAGCCCTTCCCCGAGGTGAAGTTCCCCCCTCCTCCCGCAGCCCCACACCTCTGCCCCACAGCCCCGTGTAGCCTGGGCCACGGGGACCCACGGCAGGCACCCGGGGGGAAGCCTTTTCCAAGCAGGGAAGGGAACCCGGCAGAGGATCGACCTCGGTTCTGAAAGGGGAGCGGAGAGCCGGATGGAGAAGGCAATTTGATATAAAGGAGATGTTGAAAAAACAGGTCCTTGAAGGCCAACCTGGCGGGGAGCCAAGGGAGATGGCAACCTCTGAAAGGCAGAGGACAAGAGGGAGCCTTTCCTTTCATGGTTGCCATCTCCTTGGCCACCTGCAGCCACAGATTTGAGAAGCCCACAGTCCCCCCGCTTTGGACGGTGCTCCCCAGGTCCAAGGGGATCCCCCCTGGGGTCCAAGCAAAGTGCTTCTGGCTTGGACCGACCAGCGACGGTGGCCAAAAAACCAGCTGGTTAACTCGAACCTTCCCTGTGGAGCTCCTCAGCCTGGTGCCTGTGGCCAACACCCGCAGCCACCCACCGCGAGCGACCACCCTGCTCACACGCTCTCCTCCGCCCGCCTCATCTGCTTGATCTGCCGGCTGTGGACCACCTGCGGAGCCCCCTCCACAGCTCGGTTTAATCGCGTCTCTAGAGCACTCCGGAGGTCGTTTACTTTCACATCTGGAAGGGGGTTCAGGCCAATGAAGACCCCCGCCCCTTGTGCAGCCTCCTCCTCTTCCTCCTCCTCGGGAGGCAGCAGGTCCCGTCTCCTCCGGCGGAGGTCCAGGTCCGCCTGCAGTTTCAGGTCCCGGTTTGGTTTGACGTCGTGGTCCAGCTTCTGGTCACCCTGGGCAGCCCCTCCTTTCTCTGGCTTTTGGGCAGGAACATTTTCAGGGCCTGGCTTCTTCTCAGCATCGTTTGCGAGGCCTCCATCCCCGTGCCTCTGCCTGCCCCGTGGACCTCCCTGAGGCTCCTGGGCCACGTCCACCACCTTCTCCCGAGGAGCTTCGTCCTTCACCTCCCCTTTGGCAGGCAGGTCCCTCTGCGAGCCCTGCTGCCGCCTGCCCTGGCTGTCTGCAGCTCCCTGAGGCTCCCGTAGGTGCTGCTCGCTCTCTGCCACGTTCCTTTTACTGGAGGAGTCCAGGGCAACTGCCAGGTTTTTGGGCTCCACCTGACTCAGTGCTTTGGCTTTAAGGTCTGTTCCCGAGTCTCTTTCCAGGCTCTTTCCTGCTACTCCCTGAACTTTGGCAGCCCCCAGCTGTTCTCTTTGGATGGGAGCTGTAGCTACTTCCACAGCTTTCAGGGAATTCTTCTTCTCGTGGACGTCTCTTCCAGCTTTGGCTTCACGATCTCCTCCTAAATCCTCCGCCAAGGGCTTCTTTTCTAGGTGGTTTCTGGCTGCCGGAACGTGCTGGGCATCCCCGTGAAGGGGATCCTGGTTCTCCACAGGATTTTTAACAGCTCTGTCATTCTCCTGAGGCGGCACCTTCCGCTCCTTGGGAGGAACCCCAGGAATCTCACGCTTGTGCCCAGCCTCCTCCAGCCTTCCTGCAGCGTCCCTGCGCTGCTCGGCGGCGTCACCAGGCTGCCTGCCCTGCGCCGCCTGCTCCAGCACCTCTTTGCCCAGGGGTTTTGCAGCAGCTTCTTGTTTAACTCCAGGGCCCTCGTCCTCCTTGCTCTTGGGGAGCGGCGCAGCGGGCTCCTGCTGCGTTTCGGCTGCAGAACAAAAACCAACACGTAAAAGCTTTTTCTTAGGAGATTCCCTTCTCCCGCCACCCCTTTCTGCTCAACAGGGGACAGGAGGAGAGATCACACCATCAACGGCCACGCGGAAAAACAAGGAGAAACATGGGGGAGAGTGTCATCCCCAAGATCAGGGGGCTGGGGATCCCCACCCCAGAGATGGGGGTCAGGCTCAGGAATGGCTTTTGCAGAGTGGACTCTGCCAGGAGGAATCAGATCTCCCCCAGGATGATTTTACGGCTGATCAGCCCGTGGAGGGCTCTTTGGGGATGTCCTTACCTTGCTTTGGCTTCTCCTCTCCTCCCTCCTCCTGCCGTTGCTGGTGGATCTCCTTGTGCTGCTCTTCAATCACAGCCAGCAGTTTTGCCTGTTGGTCAAGGAGCTGCTTCTGCTGGACCTGCTGTTCTTTGATCACCTGCAGCAGCACAGCGTGATCAAGCAGTTTCGCCTGCCCCGCTTCTAGAAAAGGGCAAAAAATAAGAAAGAAAACCAAGCAATTCATGAGCCAAACCCCTCACTTAATCATCTCTCAGCAGCTTTGCTGGGGTCCCAGCGCTGGGAAGGACAAGGTGGCTGCTCAGCACAGGAGCTGGAAGAGGATGGGACCAGCAGCAAGGGGCTCGAGTGCCCGAGAGAGATGAGCTGCTTTTAAACCTGCCCATGGAAGCCCCAGCGCCGCTGCAGCTCAGCTCTCGAGATCAACCAGGCTTCTCAAACACAGATCACCTCTTTGAATGCACTGCAAAAACTTCATCCCAGCTAAACCCAGTCTGGAAAGCCCAGGCATGGTAAATGTCCAATCTTAGGAGGAACTGGAAGAAGTCAGCCAAGGCACAGCACCAGGAGCTGCCCTACCCACACGGTGGGATAAACCCACACAGAAGCAGCCCAACACGTGAGGTGCAGACCCTGAGCTGTATCTTTTCAACCCAAGTCCTGGGTTACAGGAGATTGAGATGAGATCTGGGAAAGAACTTCTTTGGTGTGAGGGTGGTGAGAGCCTGGAACAGGTTGCCCAGAGAAGCTGTGGCTGCCCCATCCCTGGAGGGGTTCAAGGCCAGGTTGGAGGGGGCTTGGAGCAACCTGGGCTGGTGGGAGGTGCCCCTGCCCAGGGCAGGGGGTGGCACTGGGTGGGCTTTAAGGTCCCTTCCAACCCAAACCATTCTGTGATTCTATGACTGTTGTCTTTTCTCCCAGTTCAGCTGAGGGAACGTCTCTCCTGGCCCACAGCAGGAAAACACCCACCAAACACAATCCTGGCGAAGGATTTGGTGGAAGGGCTGGATCTCGAGCGGCCATGAAGGGTTTAACGGCAGCAGCACAGGGGTTTGGGCAGGTGAAACCCCAGCAGTGCAGAAAGGCAGCCCCCACCTCCTGCCACCAGGGTAAAACCGAGCTCCCCACTCCCGGGCACGGGAGGAAATCTCTTCCCACCGGCCCTTTACAGCCAGGGAGTCACATAAAACAGACATTTTGGGCTGAAATGTCACTTCACTGGCTGGAAGCGACACCTCAGGCACAAACTATGAGTCCTGGGTCTGCTGGAAAACGTTGCTGCCTTTTCTCCACCTGGAGAGACACCCAGAGGAATGGCATCGCGTGGTATCTGGAGAGCAGGAGCCTGCGTGTGGCTGGACTCCCTCCCGTGCCACCAGCCAGCCTTCCTCCCAAACTCAACGGTGTTTCTAGACTATTACACCCCAAAGGAAATAATGTCAAAATTAATAGCCTGTAAAACACCATTTAAATTAAAAAATAAAGGGATGCTGTCCAGGTTAATCCCTCACCAGCCCGCACTGCCTCCCCCTGTCCCGCTAATCACCCACCAGGTGATTACAGAGAAATATTTCCCCTTCACATTACGGTGCTATTAGCCCAGGGCCCCTGGAATTCCCCTTCCCACTCCGTTTACAGAAAGCTGGGCTGGGAGGGGGAATTGGGTCCTTTCAAGAGAGCAATTGACTTCTGGAGACCTGTTTATTTTTCGCACTTTGCTCAGAATAAACAATGAAAACAGAAGTCACTTCTACTCTCCGTCTCTCCCGGCTCACCAGCTCCCAGCTCGGCTTGGGAATGTTTGGGTTGAACCTCAGCAGGCAAAGGTTTAACACCAAATCAAAGCCCTTCTGGTGGAGAGCTCTGCAAACACGTGTAACTCCTGTGTTTGTGCAGCAAACCTCTTCCACACAAACAAAAGGTGACTCTTAACACCCAGCCCTGCCTTCCATCCTGGAGATCCAACACTTCGGCTGGATTTTAGCAGGCACTCTTCATAGAAACCATCTTTAACTATTATTAATGGAAGTACCTGAGTTCTCTGGCCCAGGGCAGCCACAGCCAGAGCACTCACCAGTGGTCCCAGTGAGCAACCCTTTGCAAAGAGCACCCACACCTTGCTCCCACCACGCCATTTCACCCTCCCCATCCTCTCCCAGCCCCTGGGCACCAGGCTCAGAGCAGAGCTGAGGAGCAGAACAAGCCCACCCTTGGGTGACATCCTCATGGGAGAGCATCCCCGGCAAGTCCCACACAGACCAGGCTGGAAAACCCCAAGGAAACTCAGGTCCCTTCATCCTCCTGGAAAGGTGAAGAGTCCTCGTAGTCCTTACCCACCACTAGCTTTTCACGCTCAGTTTTCGGAGTCCAATTGTGATGCAGAACGGAAAGAAAATAATTAGAAAACCAAGCTGTAACTACCAAGGAGGGTGACACGCTCCCCAGGAGCAGAGCCTGCCCTCTGCCATCACTCATGGGACCAAACACCCATCACCTCCAGACCAGAAGAGCCACGGGACCCCACCACGCACCGGCTGTGAGTCCGGGCAAGGCAGAGACCAAAGACAAGGAGCTCAGCCTGAGGGAGGGCTCACGGCAGAGCCCCAGCACCCAGGCAGTTGTGTTTCACACCAGCTGAATGGTTTTGCTCTGGTCTCTCTCTCCCCGGGGCAGCGCCACCTGCGCTGGAGCCGCCGAAGCCGGTAAAAAGCTGGGTGCCAGCGTGACTCACGTCCCCGCGCGGCGCTGCCAGGGGCTGTGCCATGGAGCAGCCCGCCCGCAGGGGACAGGCACTAATTGCTGCCCTCGTGGAGGTGACTACAGCCTGAAATATGTGCAGGCAAGAGCCAAGAGCAGCGCTGGCTGGCACCGTCCTCCTGCAGAGAGAAATCCCACTCTCCCAACCCCGTCTCCCGGGGGGAGCTCAGCGCCCTCCCCTCCCCACAGACCCCAGGGACGCATGCTCACCCTCCAGCTTGCTCTCCTGTTGCCTCTCCTCGGTGTTTCGGGGCTCCCTGGGCTCCAGCTGATCCCCTCTGTCCTCCTGCTTTTCACCTGCAAGACGAACACAACGACAGACCTTTGCAGTCAGCAGATGTTCCCCGAAACGACTCCGCGTCGTGTTGTCCCTCCCTGCCTAAGCCAGCACCGTTTGGGCAAGGCAGAGACCAAAGACAAGGAGCTCAGCCTGAGGAAGGGCTCACGGCAGAGCCCCAGCACCCAGGCAGTTGTGTTTCACACCAGCTGAATGGTTTTGCTCTGGTCTCTCTCTCCCCGGGGCAGCGCCACCTGCGCTGGAGCCGCCGAAGCCGGGGAGCAGCCGGGTGCCAGCGTGACTCACGTCCCCGCGCGGCGCTGCCAGGGGCTGTGCCATGGAGCAGCCCGCCCGCAGGGGACAGGCACTAATTGCTGCCCTCGTGGAGGTGACTACAGCCTGAAATATGTGCAGGCAAGAGCCAAGAGCAGCGCTGGCTGGCACCGTCCTCCTGCAGAGAGACATCCCACTCTCCCAGCCCTGTCTCCCAGGGGGAGCTCAGCACCCTCCCCTCCCCACAGACCCCAGAGACGCACGCTCACCCTCCAGCTTGCTCTCCTGTTGCCTCTCCTCGGTGTTTCGGGGCTCCCTGGGCTCCAGCTGATCCCCTCTGTCCTCCTGCTTTTCACCTGCAAGACGAACAGAACGACAGACCTTTGCAGTCAGCAGATGTTCCCCGAAACGACTCCGCGTCGTGTTGTCCCTCCCTGCCTAAGCCAGCACCGTTTACATTCAACCCGACGACTGCAAGGGAAGTAATAAAAAAAAAAAAAAAAAAAAAAAAATTTAACAATCTTATAGACTGGTGGCAGGCAGCCAGCGCTAACTACCTCAGCCAATTAAAATGCAAGAAGGGTTCTAACTAGCTTTTAGACGGGCACTTAGCAATGTGTTACCTGTCAAGATCTCCCGGCTCCGTGTCCCCAGTGAGTTCGGAGACGCAGAGGAACAGCATGGCACCTGACATTTAGTAGGCTAGCAAACAACTGTTTGACAGATATTATAGTAGCTGTCAAAGCCACCAGATTCCTCCTTCTCCCCAACAGCTGCTGACGGGGCCGTGCATGCTCACATGCTAATCTCGTGGAATTAAAAGGAAGCCCCAGGCCGTTAGGTAGGAATAACCACATTGCCCCATTGCCGGGGCAGAGAGAGGAGAGTTTGTTCAGAGGAGGCACCGTGGAGGGAGCTTACCAGGGTCACTTTCCTTCTCCACGGACTTGGCAGCCTCCTCTGCTTTCCTGGGGTGCTGGAGTTTTGATTTCTCCCTGTCACCTGCAGCCTCAGCTTTCTTCTCACCGTCCGGCTCGGCAGCTTGCGCCTTGGCTTCCACCCCTTGTTTGTCTGGCTGCAGCTCTTTGTATGGCGGCCTGCCATCCTGCTGCACCATCACCTCCAGGACGTTCTTGGGATTCTTGAGGGGTTTGTCAGTCCCTCCCCGCAGTTGGTTCTCACCGATCGCTTCCTTCCCTTGTTTTGGGCCAAGTGCCTCTTTCTGGGGCTTCGGGGCGGCCGCCTCCTCCAGCGCCGGATCCAACCCACCGGCGTCGCCTCCCCCGGGCACGGCCTTGTTCTCATCCGATTCCTCCCGCTCCCGCCCCATGTCCACGACCACTTCATCGTGTGGGACGGGGGGCTCGTGGCGATGTGCTTCCCCCACGGGCAGGGCAATCCCTAGGGTGGGCGACAGGCAGGGTTAGGGGGCTCGAGAGCCATGGGAGAAAGCAACAGCACAGCCTGCACCCACCTCCCTGCTGCCCTTTTTCAGCCCTTCCTCATCAGGAGGCTGATTCCTAAGGGTTGGACTCCATGATCTTAAAGGCTACGTTGGACAGGGCTTTGGGACATGGGCTAGTCCCTGGGCTAGTGGGACATGTCCCCCCCACGGCAGGGGGGTTGGAACCAGATGATCTTTAAGGTCCCTTCCAACTCCAACTATTCTGTGATTCCATGATTCTACGAAAGGTCTTTTCCAACCTGAATGATTCTATGATGCTAACGAGCCTCAAGAGCATCAAATGCTAAACCACGCTCAGGTAACCTCACGGGTTACCTAAATTACCACGTGGTAATGAGCAGAGACCAGGATCTTTATCTGAAATAGCCCTGCAACACACACCTCCCAGCACCAAAACTGGCCCCCTTCCCCCAGCTTCCTCATTACCTTGATCGGGACGGTCGAGCTGCACTTTCTCCTCCAGCTTTCCCCTCTCCTCCTCCCTCTTGGGTACCTCCATGGGCACCTTGATCTGGGGTTGCTCCATCTCCTCCTTCTCCAGCAGCTTGGGTTTGTCTCGGTCATCCTCCGCCTCCTCCACGGCCGGGTTCTGCTCTGCAAAAGCAGGAGAGTTAATTGCAGGGGGTTACGCACGGCTGCGCTGTCAGTCCACAGGCAGATCAAGGCACAACCCAAGCCGAAATCGGGGGCTTTTGTTCTGGGGTCGCCTGTTTGTTTTCCTTACAGTGGGTTTTTTTTCCAGAGCTGCTGCAGGGAAGCAGAGGCCAGGAAGGGCTGGGATGGAGCCGGCTGCCGCTGCGATCCGGAGCCGCCAGATGGTAGCATCCTCCCGGCTCCCCCGTGCCGGACCCCCCGAGCACCAGGAAAAACCCCAGGGGGGGTCCATCCGCAGCCCTCCATCGCCCGCCTGCGCTGGCTGCATGTTGCAAAGCAGCTCAAAACCTCTTTTATTTTATTTTTCTCCTTTTTGTGCACCAGCCCTTCGAAGGGGTGGGAGGGAGGGAGCAGAGCGGGGCCCACCCCGCAGAAGGCACGAAAATGTGAAGTTTTGAGGAACACGATTAAACAGCCATTAGGGGAAACTCCCGAGGGAGATGGGGAGACTCTCCCCATCTCTCCCTCGAAGAGCTGGGATGTTTCTGGAAGACATATCCCAGTCAAACCAGCGACTGTGTTCAGCGCTGGAGTAACCATGTGGAATTTGTGGCACGTCCCAAGGATGGGAACGGTCCCTTCTGACCCCAGGGTGGCAGAAGTCGACCCACACAGCGCCAACAGGGAGTGAACTCTTCCTTAGAAGAGCAGCAGAGGAGGAAATCTAATTGTTTCCCAGCACTGAAGTTGTTCTGCAGATTTTTTTCCATCCAACACACTCCAAAAAAAAAAAAAATCTATCTTCTGTAACAAAAAAAAAAAATTCCCAACTCTTCCCCCCATTTGCCCTCCCCCATGTGATTTCCTTTGGGGAATTAATTCTATAAACATCTTTCAATTTTCTCCTCCCCCTCCGCAGGGCTGGTGCGATTTATTACAAGATGAACTCATGGGAAAGAAGAGATTGCCACAACTTCAGCTGCGTGGGCCTTACCCAAATTTGGGGGGGGGAGAGGGGAGGAGGGCAGGAGGAAACATCAAAATAAGTACAAAATCCTGGCCCAGAGGGATCCGTGCCAGAAGGACCCAGCGCTGGTCCAGAAACCTGGACGCTCTGGCCCAGAGCTCCGCACCCATGAAGGGACGTGCGCCGGGCCTGGCCGGCTTTCAAAGCTTCCTGGGTTGGGGAATGACGGTGGGAGGGGAAAAAGGAGTGGGATTTTCTGAGAAATTCAAGTTTGGTACCCAAGGGTCCCCCCCTCTCTCCATTGAGGGACTTCCCAGGGTTCAGCAAGTCACGGCAGGACACTCCTCCTTTCAGGAAAAAAATGGACTTGGAGGAACCGGTGCCCAGGCCTGGACAGGGGCCCTGGGAAGCAGGAGGCCGGGGAGGGGAGCGCTCGGCACGGCTGCGGATGTTCCCAGCTCAATTCTGGCCTCGAAGCACACAAAAAAAAAAAAAAATTATTTACTCTATTGGAGGAAAGTTTTTCGTTAATTGGTTCATGAAGGCGGGAGAAGCCTGAAACCAGAGGATCCACAACACCGTTCCCACAGCAGACGGGGACGAGGAGCGAGGCAGGGGGATGATGTTCAAGAGGGATGAAAAACCAAAGCTGGGGGAGGGAGAAGGTTTCCATACAAGGGGGAAATGGAGGAGTTAAAACCACGAGTTTGGCCACAGGACCCTGCAGCAGGTGAACATCCCCCCCCCAAAAACACGGGTCCAGGCCATGACCGAGGGGCTGGGGGGGGACCCCGCTGCTGGGAGAAGCGTCAAATCGTAAATCAAGAGGCGGCCGCATGGTCCGTGTTCTGCAAACAATGCGAGAAAAAGCCCAAAACACAAACAAAACACAAACAAAAACTAAAAAGCCTCCACACCATAATAAGCCAAAGTTGCCTCTAAGCCGTCATTTGCTCAGCGGGAAACAAAATTAAGTTCATCATCAGGGCGTGAATTAACGACCTCTCGCGCTGCATGGAAATCTATAAGGGACTATATGTGGTTTGCAGAGAACAATTTTTGCTCAGGATGTGTAATAATGGCTCTAACTGTCTAGTCGCCCTCCAGGTCCCTCCGGAGAGCGTTCCAGTAATGCTGCGCCTCTTAATGTTTTATGAGCGGCGTTGGACTTTACAGGCGAGGGCTGAGAGCCTGGAAAAGCTTTTTGGCTTACGACACCGGGACCTGGGAGTTGGGGAGGGTTTGCCTTGCCCCCGGAGGGTCCCACCGAGCCACCCCCCGGCTCACGATGCTCCTGGGCAGCTCCTCTCTCACCCTCGCGGGGCGGCGAAGGGAAGGCAGGGCTTTCTGCGCCTGATTTGTGTCTGTGAGTGTGCGTGCGTGGTGTGTGTGTGTTGTGGTTTGCCAACAGCCTCTCCAGGCTGCAATAAAATTTCATGATTAGCAACCTAAAAGCTTCCCTTCCCCCCCCCCAACTCCCCGCTCCCGGTTCGGATAGCAGCAACAGTCCCAGAACAACATTAAATCCCTCCTTGCGTGGTTTTCCCATCGCGCTCGTCCACAGCAGCCAAAAACCAGGTCCCTGCACCCCACTTTTGGCCAGAGCAGGGAGATGGGCCCCTCTGTGCTCCCCCAGCTTCCCCCCCCCAACTCCCCGCTCCCGGTTCGGATAGCAGCAACAGTCCCACAACAGCATTAAATCCCTCCTCGCATGGTTTTCCCATCGCGCTGGTCCACCACAGCCAAAAACCGGGTCCCTGCACCCCAATCTCAGCCAGAGCAGGGAGACAGGCCCCTCTGTGCTCCCCCAGAGCCGAGGGACCCCCAGGGACCACACAGGGGGCTCGGGGAGCCCCCAGCCTCTCCCCTCTGTGCCACTGGGGAGCATCATCCCAGGGCTGATGAGGGATGTGGAGGAGTCAGGACCTGCTGATGCGAAATGGAGCAAGATCCATGAGCTCCTGTTCAGGAAAAGGAAGAAGAACAAGCAGGGCAGAGGGATGGGGGTAACCCCCAGTGCCCAGCAGCCCTACACCCCGAGCAGGGCA